CTTCGTGAGCTACACCCAGATCAGAAACCCTGAGGGAGACACACAGCCCGCAGCAGAAATGAGCCGCCAACAGTCACACACCGTTTGAACTGCAGCGCCAATGTTGATCTTTTCCCATCTTCCCATCGCTTGTCTTTCTCCATCTCTCTCGCTGCCACTTCACATCACCTCCACCTTTTTACATCAGACACTCTTTTTTTCCCTCTTATTGCACAAATTGGACTAAAAGGTTTTTGGCTCCAGTGAAGAAGAAGATGGGGGAAAAAAGACTAGCCACAGATGAAATTCTACTTTTCAGTGTGTGTCATGGAGGTGAGAGATAAAAGGCTTTGCTAATCAGACATCTGCACTGTTTCGGTAGATGGCAAGGTAGATGTAGTTCTTGGACCATGGACAAACAAGTGCATAGGGACAAGACAGTTCATACTGTACCTTAAAGTGTTATTTCAGCCAGAAAAAGAAGGAAAATTATGTTATTCAATACTCACATCGTTCCTATCCACTCAGACCTTCGTTCATCTTGAGAATGCAAATTAAAATCTTTTAGAATAAACCAGAGAGCTCTCTTCTAGCATAAACATGATCAACATCATTTGTTTAAAGCAGCGTATTTCTCCCAAAATTGAATATTCATAAAAAGATTTGAGATTATTTAAATCCTCTTGGCCAGCGTCAGGACGTGGATGCAATGGGGCGATATTTTTGAACATGTCAGTGTTTACAAATAGATTAGATCAAAAAGAACAGAGTATTATTTTCAAACTCTCTGGTTACTAAAGTTACTCTCATCCCCCGAAAGAAAATGCTATAGTGGATAATCCACTTATGGGGATTTCGTTCAGAAAGCCAATCATCTGAAAGAGTATACAAACAAGCCAATAAAATGCCAATGAGTTGGCAGCTTCAGCTTGAGCAGCTGATGCTTGTTACAATCAATTAAACAATATAAGCACAGCAAGAACAAGGCTGAGGTATTTTTTTTTTTTTTTTTGGCTGAAGAGAGAGCAGACCTACAACGTAATGGGTCAGCAAGTGGCTCATCTGCTGAGTCAGTTCTGGGGCCTCAGAGGAATCTCTGCAGGGCTCAGCTAAGCGGGGAACTTTCCTGACGGATTGAATAAGCGCACATATCTCCGCGCGAACTGCTGGGGGACACGGCTCGCCCTGGCTCCCACTATTTAGTGGGCCAACTTCTGTTTAGATACGGCACTTCCCTGCTGCCTACCACCAAACAGACAGAGCTGCTCAGATTATCTAAAACTCTGGGTGCCATCCAGATAAATGCACAAAGGATGACACATGGAGGTTCCAAAGATCAGGGCGAGGGTGCCAGATGGTGCCCTGTCCCTGAGAGGTGCAACTAGATAGACATGTGGGCCAGTGCATCCATGCTGAGAGAGCCCTCGGTCAGGGAAAAGAACAACTGGCATTCTCGGGGAAAGCAAACAGATCGATCTGGGCTTCCCTGAATCGCGCTCATATCATCTGAACAGACTCGGGGTGGAGTCTCCATTCTCCGGATCGTAAAGGCTGCCGTGAGAGCGCATCGGCTGCACAGTTGAGCTTGCCTGGAATGTGAATGTCGTGCAGCGATTTCAGGCGTGTATAACTCCAGAAGAGCAGACGACGCGCAAGCTCAAACATGCATCGAGAGCGGATACACCCCATGCTGTTGATATATGCCGCTGACACCGTGCTGTCCGTTCTGACCAGCACGTGCTGCTGGTCCAGCACTGGAAAAAAAACGGAGAGCGAGGAACACTGCCAACAGCTCTAGGCGATTGATATGCCAATGCAATTGGGTTCCTTTCCACAGGTCCGCAACACCTGCAACACGCAGCCCTCCAGCCCGTGCTGGAATCATCTGTTGAAACAACAACATGACTGGACGCCTGTCCTAGAGGCACTCTGGCCTGTAGGAACGAGGGGTCGTTTCATAGGCTAAGGGAGTGGCGAGTCAGCGCAGTAACAGTGACTCAGTGTGTGCCCGCGTGCCATGCACGTCTGGGGACTTGATCGTCATTGATCGGTCATTGTGACCAAGTCCAGCTCCAGCCCGAGAAAAGAGATCCTGTGCACGGGGGCGAGTTTGCTCTTTTCTTGTTTGACCTGAAGCCCCAACAGGTGAAAGTGCCAGAGCACCTTGTCTCTGTGCATAATCGATTGCTCCCGAGAGTGGGCTAAAATCAGCCAGTCATCAAGATAATTAAGTATGCGGAAAGGGCGCTAAGGCACCCTCCACAAGCTTCTTGAAGACAGAGAGAGCTCGAAGGGGAGGATTTTGTATTGCCAAGCTCGACTTTCGAATGCAAACCGCACAATGAAGTAAAGTAAAACCCGCTCTCCATCTCGGCTGAAGGGAACAACTCAATTGGATCCTTCACCAGAAGGACACCAATCTCCTCTGGCAGGACAGGGGCAGACAGGGGGCTGACTCTGGTAAAATACATACCGGAGATTTGCCATTTCGCAAACTGAATCGCATATCCGAGTCTGATTGTGCATATGAGCCACCCCAAAGAACTGGCCCACGCTAACCAGTCAAGCCGAGCTCTCGCTATTGGACTCATTGCTACAAACGCTGATGTGCCAGCAGTGGGGCAGCATGGACTGGGTGTGCTGATCGGGGAAGCGATGGGGTCCCGTAGAAGTGTTGAAGGCAAGAGATTCACTCTCACCTCGCACTCAAGCTCCGGAGGGGAGACTCGAGAGGTGGAAAAAAAGGAGATTGTCCTTTCAAAGCGTGTGAGCCACTGGCGAAATCCACAGAACCTGCGAGATGGAAGACATAGCATCCTAGACTGTCAGAGTTTGGTCTGTCACATCTGGGGAAATGGAAAAGTACTCTTTTACTGATTTTTCGTGGCACTGAAAAGTGCCGTTGGAAATGGGGCCCGGCCTTCCAGCGGGAAAAGAGCTAATTCCCTTTTCTCCAGATGGCCTGTCTCAGGGACGGTTCGCGGTCCATTTACCGGACTTAACGGCGCCCTGGGCAAGTGGGGCTACCTGCTTCCGAGGTGCTCGATGTGCTTGCTTTGCCGGATGTGCAGCTGGGGGCGAGGCAGCTCTCGTAGGCGAGCACCCTCAGCAAGGAGCAGCAGATGTGGATGGCTCGGTGGGCATAACAGGCTTACGGTCCTGCCGATAGATAACATTACCCATCGCATCTGATTCAAGGTATCCACTATAGCATTGAAGTTCCCCATCCTAAGGGGAACCAGACATCAACCTAAAGCTACAACCCTCAAGCAGCCATTGTAGCTAGTTGTTTTTTCAATGGGAAGCTTATAAGGAATGTATTTGCTAAATTTGTGTAAAAACAGAACATGCTCCTTAGATATACTTATCATCGTAATAACAAGACACACACGCATTCACTGCTGTAGATCATGATTTATTTTGAAACGAAAGAGTCCTCAGAACAACATCTTATAGAGCACATTTAGTTCAATGACACAATCGTGTTGAATTATAGATGGTTATTTATTTATGTCACCGTTTCTTCCAGAGCCCTTTTTTTACAGTGTTTACTATGCTAATAATGCGTGAAAACAGTGTCTTTGTAGTAAAAAGCAAGATGATGTGCCATGAGAGCACAAACTGAATAAAAAGTCAAAGTTATAGTTACTAAAAACTTAAAGTAGTCACGTGTTTTGACGTTCTGCATATGCTGTCGTATGGCGAGTTCAGACTGCACAATTTTCAAATAAGTCACGTCACAGATGTTTTCACACTGCATGACTATACGGGGTGGCGCTCTATTGCTGTGGTGTTTACACTGCAAGATGGATCGAAAACAGATACAAAATGTATACAAAAGTCTTTTGAAGTAAGAAGGGGGGGGGAATATAATCTGAGGGAAGAACAAAATCTTAGGAGGTTGAAAACAAGGACAACTTTAAAAAGTTTGTATATGTCTGTTTGTTGTGAAATTATGGAACAGATTCTCAAACAATGTCAGGATATTAATCAATTTAAAAAGTTGTATGTATATATATATATATATATATATATATATATATATATATATATATATATATATAATTATTATTATTATTATTATTATTATTAAAGGAATATAAATAATTGATTGAAAAAGAAAAAAGAAAAAAATGAGAAAGGTATGATAGAATTTCAATTAATGATGAATGATGTGTATGATAATGGGGTGGGAAAATACTAATGCTTCATCCCATTCCGTTTTCAACCATATTGAAATGTATTTATTGTTAAATATTTTTTTATGTATTATATTTCTGTTTGAATTTTTTATTATTTTTTATTTTTTCAAATAAAAAAAAATGTAATCAAACTATAGGGCTGCAAAGTAGGGTAATTTTTAGCACACACATCTACATTCTGTTGAAAATTTACTCAAAATCTTTGACATGAACGTTATTGATAACTCACGATTTATTCATGAAGACATTGGTATGCAGATTTCACTCAAGCAATTACCGAATGAGACCCATTGCCCTGATTTTTTATCCTCTCAATCTGCGTATGATAAAGAGGCTAGTAACTCAAATGACTAAACTGGCATTAACTGGCTCCATTGGTTTGAAATACGGAGCGATTTGCATGATAAGTAGCATCATTACAGAGCAACGCAGCAGACGTCGGAGATTAGCATCAACGTATACTTACGAATATGTCCAAATGGCTGTGTTTTTCAGGATGTGTTAGCATGTACTTGAATCCATCATGTCGTCCCAACGTTCGATCATCCTGACTGCAGGTTAATGCGGTCGATTACTGTCTTCATTACTGCACTTTGAAAAATGCTGGGTTGATTTAAACCAATTTTGGGTCAAATATGGACAGCCTAACAATTGGGTATGTCCGTATTTGACCCAAAATGGAGTTAAAATAACCTAACATTTTTGTTGTGTGTGTGATTTTTAGTTTTGTGGCCTTTTTTTCCCCTTCTCTCCCTTGTTTTATGTCCTCACCCTTGTCTTCCCTTACTGCCCCTTTCTGTCTGCGTCCATGGCCGACAGCTAAAGATTTCCCAGGTACAACTACAGGTAAATATGTTTTTTGCTGGAGTGCTGGTATCATCATTGCGGGACAGGGTGCTGTAATGTGGCTTGTGGACTGGTGGCTCGGGTTTCGCCAATTAACCTCCTCCATAGCATGAGCTGGGAGCCATTTGCCTTGCATGGGAGCACTGCTGATCTTTGTCAAATGTCATGGTGCTCCATGGTGCCGTCATTCACACGAGGGATGCTTAAACCTTTGGCCTACTTACTGTCGGGAGGGAATGGAAATGAATCGTGTTTTCTGTTAGGAAGAGCCTGGAGAGTTAAAACTTATAGGTTATTTTGTAGAAGGGTCAATGGCAGAGGAGAGCTCTGCACTGAATGAAATACAAAAAGAAAATAATATTTGAAATATAGTAGTTTAAAATGCATGTACTTGTACATTATTAATAGCATATGTCAAGTAGTATAACCATGGAATTCTTAAATGTTATACTTTTTTTTTTTTTTTTTTTGCTGAAATTATGTAGTTTAAAATGCATGTTCTTAAAAATGTTTTAATGTCATTGCAAATTCAAATGTAAAGTGGTTTAAACATGGATTTTCTTAATACTGTTGACATTTTTTGCTGAAATAATGTAGTTTAAAATTCTTGTTCTTAAAATAAAATAATGCTATTTTAAGTTCAAATGTCTAGTGGTATAACCACAGAATGGTTAAATATCATTGACATTTTTGCTAAAATAATGCAGTTTAAATGTATATTCTTAATTTTATAAAGACATTTTAAGTTTAAATGTCAAGTGGTATAACCATGGAATTCTCTTTTTTTTTTTCTGAAATTGTGTAAAATAATATATATATATATATATATATATATATATATATATATATATATATATATATATATATATATATATATATATATATATATATATATTAATGCCATTTTAAAGCCGAATGTCAAGTGGTTTAACCATGGCATTCTTAAAAATTATTGACATTTTTGCTGAAATTATGTAGTTTCAAATGCATTTTCCCCCCAAAAAAAATAATAATGAAATGAAATGTCAAGAGTTATAACCATTAAATTCTTATTTATTATTGACATATTTTGTTGAAAAGTGCAGTTTTAAATGCATTTTTAATTTTTTTAAGGTTAAATGTCAAGCAGTGTAACCATTGAATTCTTAAATATTATTGATATTTTTATGAAGTTTATGAAGTATGAAGTTTAAATTGCATGTTCCTAAAAATGTATATTTTATTGCCATTTTAATGCTGAATGTCAAGTGGTATAACCACAAATTTTTTTTAATTATTGACCTTTTTTGCTGAAATTATGTAGTTTAAAATGCATGTTCTTCATTTTCTAAATGCCATTTTGAGGTCAAATATCAATAATTAATTTTTCAGCAATTCTTAAATATTATACTTAAAAATTACTGACATTTGTGCTGCAATGATGCAATTTAAAATGCATGTTCTTAAATGTTTTTTATGCCATTTTTAAGGTCGAATGTCAAGTGGTATAACTATAGAATTTCTTAATATTATTGACATTTTTGCTGAAATAATGTAGTTTATAATTTATGTTCTTAAATGTTTTTAATGGTATTTGACGTTCAAATTATTTTTTGCTGAAGTTATGAAGTTTAAAAATGCTTGTTCGTAAAAAATAATAATATAATTTTAAGGTCGAATGTCAAGTGGTTTAACCATGGAATTCTTAAAAATATTGACATTTTTTATCTTAAATTATGTAGTTTAAAATGCATGTTGTTCTCATTATTGTAATGTACTTTTATTGTTAAATGTAAAGTGGTATAACCTTGGAATTCTTAAATATTATTGACATTTTCTAATATGCTTGTTCCTAAAAATTATTTATTTAATGCCACTTTAATAACAAATGTCAAATGGTATAACCATGGAATTCTTAAAAAAAACATTGACATTTTTTCTTAAATGATGTTGTTTAAAATGCATATTTTCAAATACCAATTTTAAGACAAAATGTCAAGTGGTATCATTGAGGTTTCCTTAAATAATTTTTCTTAAAGTAAAACTATATATTTTAAATAACAAAATAATATATTTATTAGTATCTGTGTGATGAATTAATACTGTATAATCTTTTAGAATTTTCCCAAATTTTAAATCTGATGTCAAGTGCTTTTCAAATAAACAGTGAGATTTTATGCCATTTTCACTATCAAATATCAAGTTTTTATCAAGTGTTTTTACACCTACAACAGACAAACACTATCTTTTAAGTAATGAAACTGCACAGAACCATTTCATTCAACCAAGAGATGTTTCTTTAAATTTTTTTTTGTAGTTGTTGCTACCTTAAAAGTCAAATCTCAGGTACTGAATTTATTTCTTACACCTTCAGAAAAAAACATATAAAACTATCAAATTGAATAAAATGAAAACTATTGTATTCAGCCCAAACTGTAAATATGAATATTTTTCTTAAGCCTAGCAGTGAATTTTATTTGTTTATTTATTTATTTTCTTTCATATAATTTAATTCAGAAGCACCAGCACTCTCAAAAATAAATGTACAAAAGCTGTCACTAGGGTGATATTTGTGTACTTTTTAGGTACTAATACCTTTAAGGTATCAGTGTGAATCTTTTACATAATTATATAAACCCTTCAAGTACAAAACTGTATCTTTTGAAACAGTTTGTGCCTTCTGAAAGTATGACAGATATCATGCGTTTTTATTTTTGAATTTAAAAAGTTTTCCCACAGTCACACCACTTGACATTTGTCAACTACCCTTGATTTTTATATGCAAATACATACATTTATCAAACTACAATTTCAGCTATTTCTGTAATAATATCGAATCATCACAGAAAGTTTATACCATCTTGACATTTTTTGCATTTATACTCCTTTAACACAAAATGCAAACCGTCATTGACCCAGAAAGGAAGCAAACAGAAATGCGAAAAATAAAAAGAAAACACTAACTTTCCTCGTCTCCTTCTCTTAATTAGTTTTTTATTATTGTTATCTTAAATACCCAGCCAAATTGAACGCGAAGAAACCAATACTACTTTATAAATGATAGTGTTATCCTATTCTTAAACACACACACACACACATACAGAGACAAAGTCTAATTTTGTTTAGCTTCCTACAACCGACTAGCATAAGAACATGTTATTATATGTCATCAGTGTGTGCATGGTATGGCCTTTTGAGAACATGTTTTGTTTTGGTATGTGCCGTTTACGTCCTGTTCTGTTTTGTTTTTGTGAACCATTGATTTGTATTTCCAGCTTGGTGGTCTGTTTCGCTGCGGTCTCTGTGCTGAATGTTCCACCTCGATGTGTTTGAACTATTTTGTCATAGGTCAGTTTTCCTTAGCCCGCTCTCCCAGGAGAGAACCGATTTGAATAATTAGCAAGCATAATTTGTTTTTAAAAAATCTAATCATATTTTATGCCACCCACACCACAATCCGCTGAGAGTAAAGCCAGCATGAGCTGCAATATGAGCGGAGATAACAGTGCAAATGCTGTATATATGCTTCATATGTGGAACTGTTTTAAAAAAATAACGCACAATTCCCTCCAGAGTTCTGTGCATTAATGTAAACACAGCTTACGCTTGCTTATACAAATGGACTGAAATTGTATTCTGTGTTAATCAACAAGTTTTGTCAATAGAGCTTAACTTGTTTTGAACCTGGCACGTTACGATAATATTGCAAATTAAAACGGACCTCGTTTCTCATCTCCGCAGACATGTCTGTGCGCAATTTCACAGGGTCTTTGCCACAAATTGTAAAGCAAGAAATCAGCATTAATTAATTCCACAGCGATTTATTTGGATGCAAATGTTCATTTGAAATGGATGAAGAATCTGTCTGGGTGTTTTTTTGTGTGCGGTGTGGAAAACACTGGTTCTGTGCCTCTGGCCTTTCACACGCACGCATCTTAATGGAATTCATTAACGCTCAAGCAAAATGACTTGCGTCTTTGGCCACATGTTAGCTTCTCTGAATGAGTCTAATGATCTCTAATGGAATTTCTACCGACTGAAGCTTTACTTCCACAAACTAGTTCCATTTCCGAAAAGAGTTCAGTATGTTCTCGCTCCATCCATCAACAAAAAGAAAGACATGTTTCATTCATTCATTCATTTTCTTGTCGGCTTAGTCCCTTTATTATTCCGGGGTCGCCACAGCGGAATGAACCGCCAACTTATCCAGCAAGTTTTTACGCAGCGGATGCCCTTCCAGCTGCAACCCATCTCTGGGAAACATCCACAAACATTCACACACACACTCATACACTAAGGACATTTTAGACTACCCAATTCACATTTACCGCATGTCTTTGGACTGTGGGGGAAACCGGAGCACCTGGAGTAAACCTACGCGAACGAAGGAAGAACATGCAAACTCCACACAGGAATGCCAACTGAGCTGAGGCTCGACTCAGCGACCTTCTTGCTGTGAGGCGACAGCACTACCTACTGCGCCACTGCTTGGCCCCACATGTTTCATGAACTTTGTTATACTACAAGTATCCATTTTTTGGTTTAAAGGAATAGTTCTACCAAAACTGAACATTCTGTCATCATTTACTCATCCGTCACTTGTCGCAAACCTGAGGTGCGTTTCCTAAAACCATCGTTAGCCAACTAAGGTCGCAAGTTCCATCGTTTGTTGATTTGCCGTTTCCCAAATATGTCGCTCCAACGAACATTCAGAAACTGCGTCGCAAATTTGAGCACTCGCAACTATAGCTCTGGAGCTGTAGTTAGAAACATAGTTCCTGGATGTGTTCTATTCCCACTTATCCCCCCTATACCCTAGTCATTTAGAACATTCTAACATTCAAAGTAGGAATTATTAAAAATAAAAAAGCATTAAGCTTATCTGTCTTAGGTGTAATTTGCTTCCAAACTGTTTTTACAGTTCAGTTTTAGCAAACTTCATGTTGACAATTGTGCTCCCTTCGCAGTGTACTTTGAAAACATTGATGTCATTTTGAACACAGCCTCATGGCGAAAGCTAT